TACAAATCAAATAAAAAAAAAAAAGAAGAAACAATTCTGGAGCCCAAAATGCTGCTGTAAATAGATAGTAAATTGTGAAACAGTTGGCCTTGAAATTAATAATTACACTTAATTAAAAAAAAACAAATTGATGACATTAAGGCTAAAATGCATCAAAGTGTTCTCAGTGTCATCTAATGAATCTAAATCAATGTTAAACTTTTTGAAAACATTCACAATAAACAATAAGAAAAGCTGAGTTATAGTAAACAAACCAGGATGTTGGCAGTGTACAGGCAACAGCGGTTAACTGTGGGCTGAAGAGGAGCGTGTCACTCTCTTTCTATCTCTGTATTCAGACAGATACAATGTAAAGTTGAACATCGACCTTGCTTTCGTGCAGGGATTAGGTGTAGCACCTACAAAGACTTACACTACATAACTAACTGTTACTTCCGGCATTTTAAACCAACACAGATTTCCAAAAAAACAAAGCAAATACTGGTGTGGAGGCTTTTAAAAAACCTTACCTCCGTCTTTACTAAAACCAGGCTTTGCATGTAAGCAATTTATGTTGTCTAAAGAATGTTAAACATGACTTTCAAGCCATGTGAGGGACAACATAAACATGGCATGGTATCTTGAGACACACCTTTCATTTATGACAACTGAGCAAAGTTCTAACTTATCTTATTCATTTACAAACGCATGCACACACCGACATATATATACACACCTCTCTTCAAGAATTATTTAACTAGATAAGCAACAATTCATTCACTTTATCAACACAACAGTCAGACTTTAAGCAGCTCAAGTAGAGATGATTGTTTTACCAATAATAGGTGTTATATTAAAACTGATTTAAGTTTCCTGTGATTTTAATCAGATAATATAATCCATTTATATAACAGATACAACCGTTGATAAAAGTGCCAAACCTGAAACAGTTATCAAGAAAAACTGATGCTTGAAACACACTACACGTATTCACATACGTATATGCCATTGCCAGACTGCCATATCATTATGAAATAAATTGTTTTTATTGCATTAAATTGTGAAAAGCATATTCTGATATTAATTGAGATGAGCACTGTTAATCAGGGCAATGACCTTTCATAACTTCTCCAAAATACAGATTATTTCTTAACCACAAACTTACCATAACTTCTCCTACTTTAGAATAGCCATGTCACAACGCTGATGTCATTCTAACCTTTAATGAACTTAAAAACTATTATATCATTCTGATAAATTTATTAGTAATATTCCTATGGGACTCTCTGTAACAAAGTAAGTGTTAAACTCTTTAGTGGAAGTGGAAGGAACAAACTGTTGATTTGCTGTCTGTGACTTTCTCCCATTTTCCGTCATTTATTTTCAATCAAACAATCTGATTGAACTTTCAAGGTAAGAGAACATCTGTTGCAGAGCAGCTGTTGATTTTCTACCAACTAATTTAAGACAACAACATGACAGCACACAGATGGTTTGGCATCTTTTAGCTTATTTACTACCTACAACTATTTTCCATTAGCTGTAGGCTGACTTCATATCTTCCATACAGCAAGTGGTTTTAGTGATGTCAATACACAGTTATATTTTCAATAAAAAAGTAAACTTTCAATATTTATTATTGTAATAAATGATAATGCTAATAATAATGTCGTGCCATCTGCACTTTCTGCTGCTTTACTGCAACAACATAAAGTCTGAGTAAAATAAAAGCAGACATAATGGTAGGGAATATAAGTGTCAAGCAAAATTAAAAGTTCTATCAGATATATTTTTTAAATAGCACAGTGAAATGAATGTGAATTCATGGCTGCCTGAAAGGAGGCAAAACACTTTCAGTGATAAGTAAGCAGACCAAACTCATGCAAAAACTGCATTGCTCATGCCAAAAAAAATCTTTATTTCCCTATTACACCTATAACTGTATCAAACTGTATTAAATATGTAAAAACCTTAAGTTTATAGTAACCAAATAATCCTCTGTAAATCTTCCCTGATTGCCCACTGTTGTCAGATTACATGAAGATTATAGTTGCCCACTGTTATTTTGAACAACTAAACTTTCCGCTGGAAGTGACAGATTGAGCCTTATACAACAAATCGATAAGCCCTTGTCTCAAGTGCGATTATTATATCATAATAAACCAATATTAGGCCTTTTAACAGCTGACACTGCAAACATTAGTAAGAAGTCAGGGTTGGCCCGTGAGCTTGTGTCCACATAACCGCTGAGTCACAACCGAGATTTTCCAAAGACACAAAGCTACATGGATGTTGTGAAATATCTACAAGTTCTTCATGACAGAAGTCAGTGACATAGAAGAAGAATTTACAGACTATATAGAAAAGCTTGTTTCACAAAACAAAGCTGTCCCTCTGTTGGAGTTATTCATGAAAGTTGCTCATCATTAGGGTAGACGGGTACTCACCTGAGAAGCTGTAACCACTTTGATGGTTAAAATCACTGCCTGGTGTTTGCATGTCAAACTCTCACTCACACTGTGGCCCGCAGACACACTATGGACCAACACCTGACTGTGTGCCAGTTGTTAGCCCTTTGACCGCACCCCCCCGCCCCTCACCATCACCGCCCGCCATCTGTAGGGTACTGGCAGTACGTCACGAGAAATGTCCACCTTAACAAGTTATTACATCCGGCAGTCAGGACTCCTTAAAACAAGAGTAAGATCCGACGAACACAGTTAGTTTGAGCTTTTCCACTTATGCTTCTCAACAATTTAATATCAGACGCAGATTTTGTAATGCGTTGAATTCTGTAAAAGCAGCCCGGATCTTGACGGATTTAAATAACACTTTAAGGTGGTTTTCAGGGAGTTACCATTCAGCACACAGCGCCAGCACACTGTGAACGGAGCGGAAGGTGACTGACCTGATCAGTGTGTTGAAGCAGAGCAGACAGAGTCCACTTGTAGTTTCTTTTCTGGAGCTGAATCGTCTTCTGGTCTAGCGAAAGCTTTGCGTCAGCCTCGGAAACCGTGGCGTCTCGTCGCTTTCACCGGAGCGTTGTGTCAAAGTGGTCAGCTCTGTTTGCTGCGGAGGTTTCTGGTCATGCTGCTGCTGTGGTCGGTGTTTGCCTGCCTCTCTCTCCTCCCTCCTCTCAAAGCAACTACCCGGGATCCTGAGGACACAGGCAGAGGCATCAAATTACCATTTACAACTATGATTTAGCAACTTCATTTGAATTGTGTTTTAACGATTTTATCAATCGTTTGCGCTGCGTGGGAGAGACAGGTAATAGTTTGTTTATTGATGAACTATAAATTTTGGTTTAAAACAAAAAGATGGACTTAAGCTTCATGTACATTTTTGAAAATGTGCTTAATGCTGTTTGTTTTCTTACCGAGAGTGTTAAGATAGTTAACTAAGTTAGCTAACACAGCTAACTAACAGTAAGATAAATTAGCAAGTTGAGACGCTTGATATCTCTCATTTTATTAAGGTGCACAAGCAGTTCATTGGGTTAGCTTAGCATAAAGACTGTAAACGGGTAGGAACAGCATGCTTTGTTCAAAAATTATCAAATCCACCTACCTGAATATCTAAGATAATGTTAATTAACCAAAGCCAAGTTAAATGTTCGTGGTTGTGGTGTTATGCGCCAATCTGGAGCGGTAGCCAGCCGAGGCAGTAGAGAGTATAGCTCCCCGCCATGAAATAATCCCTCCATAAATGTAACTTTTACACTTTATTTGGCTACCTGTACAGATCAAACCAACGAGATATAACATGTTTAGTGAACATAAGATGCGCTGGTAGTCAGACTTAGTTACTTGGGTACAAAGCCAAAATAGCAGTTTTTCATATCTGCAGTCTTTGTGCTAAGCTAGTTTCATATTTTGGCCACAGTACAGACTGAAGGGAGGGTGACATTAGCCACCCACAATGAAAAACACATCCTGCATTTAAAAACATACTCACGTAGTACAGAATTAAGTGTCCTTATGCAAAATGCCTCATGTCTTATTATTATATATTGTTGTTGTATTAATATTGATACATTAGTTAATATGTAAGCACTGCTGTCTACTGCTGTAATTGGTCAAGGAAATCTTAATTTTTAACTTATTTTCTATGGTTAGTTTCAGCCTGACACTGTTTCATTTTAGGCAACCAGCAGGTTAACTAAAGCTGTTAAATAAAAGTAGTGTAATAAGATACATTTTATTTTCAAACACAGTAGAATTATAATGTGGCATTAAATGAAAATATGCTACAATCTCAGTACTGTAGTTTAATACACTACTTGAACGTCCACCACTGTCAGCCCTCAGGAAATGAGTGTATTTCTCACAATGTTGAACTTTTGCTCTAAAACATAGACAGATTACCTGTCAATGATTAACAGCTTGTGTTGTTGGCTGACTGATAGGGTTACCCCCTCTTAGTAAATTATTGGATTAATAACGACTAATGAGATAATATTTCCAGTATCAATCATCACGTGTTTTTCTTATAATGTGTGTGCATTCAACTGCTGCAAGACATAGTGATAATATTTGATAGATTCTCTAGTTAAATGAAATAGTCAGGGAAATTTCTAGGAAATATATAGGAAAATAATAAATTGAAGGAGAAAGAGATTCCTCTTACTTATAATCTACTGAAACTGATCTTACTATCAGGTGCAAAAATTGGACACTAGCCATTTTCCTTTGCACTGCAACTGTATAGACTTTGTTGTAGAGTTGAGGACCTTTGGCTAACCCCAGCATAAACCTCACACGTTTGCTTTTTAACCCAAAACCAAACACTGAAATCTTTGGCTTCCTGACATCTTTTTCAACCCGCTTATCTTGCAATCTGAAGATATCAGATGTTGTACTGTATTGTTGTAAATTAGCCAGATCTGTAGCCCAGATTTACAAATTAACATATGCAGCATTCAACCTACTCATCTGATACTTGAGATGTAACTGTGTTCAGTAAAAACAGAAACTACAAAGATGTTTAAACTGAAATGTGTCATCACATAAGCACCGCTGGCAAAATGTTCTTCTGATTAGATGGTTAGATTAGGTTTTAAACTTCTGGTAGCACAGAGACGCACGCAGCAGGCAACAGAGAAGCCTGGTGAAGAAATATTCCCACAAACAAAAAGTTCAGTCCGTGACAAAATAATGTTGCCATATTCTGTCTTGACAAAATAAACCAGACTCTGACCTTGTGTTGGTTCCAGTGATGATGCTCCCAAATGACACTTGGTGGTTGGTCATATGGGTGGAAGGGCTTAATTTCACTTCAGGTTAAATCTTTATATGTCGTAATTTGCATCCTTTGTTTTGCAGGAAGTTATTTTAGGAAGAGCATATCATAATAGTTAATTCACTACAGGGACCTCTGTCATTAAATGTCATGTAGGCTAATGGTCATATTATGTTTTGTGGTCTGTTATTAGCAGTGAATGTGTAACTTAAAAAAAAGTAACCTTTATTTTGCCAGGGTTAGTCTCTTTGAGGTTCAAGACCTCTTTTCCAAGGGAGCCCTGGTAAGCTCACCATACTGATTGCAACAGATATTAATTAATGTATTTTGAATGAATCGTTAATATTTTCTGAATAATTTAAACGATTGAATGATCATTGATTACAAAATTTCGAACACAGACGCCCCCTTTTGACTGTCAGTATTTCTTGAAGAAACCTTAAGTTGAAAATAGTTTAATAAAAATATCCTCAGAACTCCAATACCGTAGACCACATAGTTCAGACACGATAGAAAACAAATGGCTCTGATTATGCTGCAGAACTCGTTATAAAAACAAAACAAAAAGTGTGAAGAGTTACTTGATGTTGTTTCATCTCAAAAATCAAGGTATTGTTAAACTGTAGCTTTTCAACTTGTTTTTAAAGCATTTAAACACAAAAGATATGACAAGGCACGAAAACCTGCTGCACACTGTTCAGCAGCTTGCCTTAAAGTCTTTTGTGATCACTGTTATAAAGGTAATAAAATGTAAGTGTAGTTCAGTCACACCATTATTCATGTGCATTTTGATTTCAGCTGCCTTTGAGCTATCATAACTGGATACTGTGAACTAAGACAGCTGGCACACTTTGCTTATTTACAGACGTACACGCATTCTCTCGCTGGCTCTCACATGTACAGTATAATGGTCCTCCCCACGCAGAATATCTTTGTGTTGAACTTAAAAAAAAAAAAAAAGACGCCCTTGAGAGTTTTGCTGTCACAAACAGAACGAAGCAATAACTTTTCACTGTTTACACAGTGGAGTCCCAGCGGACTAGAGCTGTGGTATCTGAAAATATTCATCATCAAAATGCTCATGTGTTTATAAGACTCTCCTACACCGTCATGATAATGATTCTTATAACCTTGGACTGACATGTTTTTAGACCTTGTAGGGGACCAAGGTGTTTGAATGATGATAAAAATGAAACCTTTGAAACCACCATGAGCAGCGGTGCTCTACACAAGGGCCAGAATGTCTTGATGTTTCTTCCATCCTCAAATATATTGGATGGTAGAGGAGCTAAATCTGGACATTATGCTGTTTCACAACTATTACGATTGGTCCTTTCTCCTTGTGCCCATGCTCCCTCACTCTCAGACCGGCTCCAGCAGGTTGGGATGAGCACCAAGAGAAACAGAGTTTGTTTGGCTAGTATAGGCTTGCTTTGGTGCGTGCATTAACCGCCCACGTTCATGTCCCAATGAGCAGTGTGATGGAGACTTTCCCACAGATCTCCACTGACTGCTCGTCCCATGGACCAAGAACCAAAAGCAGACTGTGTTTCCTCTGTCTCTGTTGGACATACAGTGTACAAAGTGGGCCTTTGAGTGTGTCAGTACAGTATATGTGTTTCGCATCATCTGTAATGACAGAAATTGTTTATCAGCTTTACAGTTAAAAGAATGCTTTGTTAAAAAATCCTTTAAACCTTTAAAAATTGCTATTACTCTAAACTATTTTGTTTCCTGTGTAACTTTGTCACACTTTTTTTTTTCTACACATGCATTGTTTGCCTGTCTACACAACAAAAGAACATCCTGCTTCACATATTGAGTGGTGTGGTTCATGCTAAAGCCGTAACACTGTTAACACCACATAATGGAAGGGCCATTTATCTCCCCATGCTTTACAGAAATGTGACAAAAGCATGACACTAAAGGCATGACATGAATGAATTTGATAATCAAAATATGAGGACAGAAAATAAAACAGAAAACGTTGGGAGGGTGTTATAGACAATACTTCGTCTCTACATGATTGTGTACTGTTAAATGTGTCAACGTGCACAAGGATTTGAGGAGGCTAGTGTACGATGAAGACAATGAAAGAGCTGACACAAAGAAAGTAAAACAAAAATTACTCTACAATCATGATCATCACCATCACCACCTTGTAACTTCACTGTGTCTAGCACATCCTAATATAATGGGACCCATTTTGACATCACTGATGCTGTTCATTTGCATATTTGATGTACTTTGGATTTGGATATGTGAGGTTTTATTCAAATGTTTTACAACAAGACTGAACAAAAAACACCATGAATCTTTATAGATAAGAAAATGCTTGAATTCATTATTATCCAAATCTCTATGGTGCCATCTGCTGGCTAAGCCCAGGTAGTTCAACTGTCTCTTTTCTTAAAAGAGCCAAGACTGTTTTTGAATATTTGACATGGATTCACACCTGCTTGAAAATGCCTTGGCAGGACATTCAACATATATCATGCTTATTCTGCTCAAATCACAACTTGATGGTCTTAGATCCAAATATTTAAATATATGAAATGAGCTCTGAGGTGGTTTGGGATAACAGCTGAGAGCGACAGATAAGTGGAGCAATGAAGGGTTATTCTCGCATGTTTTTGTGGTTGCGCTAAGCTTTGTTAGATATTACAAGGATAGTAGGAGAGGCCCTTTGCAGTCAAATGGGGAGAGTGTACACCAATCTCTGATGTCATGGATGAATTCATAGTTGCATGGATGTTGAACCTGTTGCATCATCTGGAGGAAACAGGGCTTGTTCAGGCATCATCTGTCTGCTGAGGTGTCCCTGAGCACAAACACAGAATAATAAATACTGTCATTGATTTTTGTTTTGTAGAGGGAGGCAGGCCAAAAGAAGAATTCCACATTTGGCTCAGTAAACCATTACATTATACTGTGGTCAGCTAAAAGATCTAATGACTTCATGTACAGTATATATTTTCTGTAAAGTTTTAGTTTGTTCTTTATTGAGAAATTTTGCTGAATCAGCCCTGTTTTTAAACACAGTTTCCATTATATAGCTCAAAACCACTAGTTCGTCATCTCAGGGGTGTATAGTCTATACAGCACATCATCCTCTGTCTTTAGACCTGCAGTTTAGATAATTAAAAACACATAAAATTTGTGGGAAAAGGGTGAAAAGAATGTCTGGGTGCCTCTTATGCTGCTGTCTTGGCCAGGGTACCATTGAAAAAGAGGTTTGAGACCTCAGTGGCTTTAAGCAAACAAGCATGCAAATAAAATAAAAGCTGTGAGGGCGTCCATCACAGGACATCCTCCATGTACCACAACCAGAAGTACTGATGTTGAGACTGATACTATATGCAAATGATTTCTGTCAGTAATGAGCCATTTGCAACGATCACATAGGTGTAAGCTAATCTAGTGTAAATACAGCTGCAGATATAATTTCAGCACACAGGGAATAATGGAATACTGATATTTATACTGTTCATTAGATGTCTATGAAGATTGAAGTTTAAATATTGAAGCAAAAACTCAGAGGGTAATTAGCTCTGTTACAAAACAGAGGATAAGGCTGATCATTTTCTATATTAACAGCATTTTTAACACTCCCCATAAAGAGACTAAAACCAACAGTGAACTGCCTCTACTCATGATTAATGTCTGTCAGTCCTGGATTAGTTTAATAGCCTGTGCCGTAGACCTCTGTGGTTGTTTAAAAACAATTAAAACCATCAGGTTTGCACACCACTGCACTGGGTGACACGTTCCCTTATTATGAAATACCAGACCCTGTAAGAATGCCCAGAGACCTCGTGCGTGGGCCCTTGACTCTTGCTTATGGCCGTTTGGGGACTTTGAGGCAACATTTTAAAAAAATTTCAGGGTTTGGTGTTTTGTAATGAGAAAACGTCAACCAGTGCAGCAGTGTGTTTCCGTGATGTGTTTTCAATTGTTTTCAAACAGCAGTGGAGGTCTATGGCACAAGCGACTAAGCTAGTCCAGGACTGACAGATTGGACAGACAATCATTGTGAGTAGATGCTATTCATAGTTTTAGTGTCTGTATGGGGATGTTGAAAATAGTGGGTAATATAGACAATGACTGGCCTCATCCTGTAAGACCAAATCTGGTGATCTTACAGTCATTTTCCTTCACTGGCCAATGTAGAGCAGACTGGCTCTAATCGAGGCAGTTTGAAAAGCTCTGTCATGTTGAGCGTCATAAAGCCCACTGGATGTGCTTCTGTGTTACTGAATATTTTTTCCTGATCACTTCATGACACCTAGAGAATTTTTTCCTGATCACTTCATGACACTTAGCGATCTCTACTGGGCTAGGACTGACATCTGTGGAGAAGCAGTTATAGTCCTTACCTATGGAACACTGTGCAGGGGCAGCTGTAGCCATCACTTGTAATCAGACTTAGCAGTCAGATCATTTAAATGGTCATAGTTGAAGCAGCAGAGGTCAAGATAACACTGGTTCCTAAATTTGTTCTAATGCAAGTTAATAGCATCTTTGTTTAAACTTTCCCTGGCAAACACGGGTTGTAACACAGGTTTTCTATTAAGATGTTGTGGTTTTTAAGCCTAACCAGTCAGCATGATGAAGGTTATTTTCGCAAACTTGTCCATACAATTTCTCCACAGCCACGGGGGGACGTCTGTGGGTCGTCCATTAATCACAGGGTTGACAGGTTTATCCCCAGCTCCTCCTGTCCACATGCTGAAGTGCCCCTGGGTGAGAAGCTGACGGTGTCAGGCTGGCATGATGCATGGTAGCTTGCTGCCATCTGTGTATGTTCATGAATGGCTGAATGAGATGCAAATTGTATAGCACTTTGAATCAAAGTGCTATGTGCTGTAAATGTAGCCATTTACAACTGTTATCTCATGCTGAGCATTAAGTACCTCTAATGACAACTGATATTTATAGGTGCAATCAGAGCAGCGCTTTTTTATCCCCTTTAAAATGTACAGGCATCAGCATGAATCTCACTGAATCAGTGGAACGATGGAACCACACCTTTATTAACTTTAATCTGTACAGAAAAAAAAAACATCAGTCACCAGATCATGCAAAGCAGTATTGCATAACAAATAAAAACACAATACAAAACAATATATACCGGAGCTTCAAAAAATAAGTTAATATATTACAAAAAATAAACTCCTGAGATGACACATACATACGTACAAATACAATATGTTATGATTTACTTGCAACATACTGTAGTAGTATTGATGATGGATAAGCAGACAAGTTGATATGCAGTTTTTAAGTGTTGGAGATTTGTTTGTTTGTTTTGTTTTTTTGTTTTACACATATGGACTCGAAATGCACCAACTCAACTGCAAATGACCAATCAAGGTACTGAGTCCATTCCAGGTTACCTTAAATTTAGTCAACCAGTACAAATGGGATTAATCACAAAACCAATACTTTAATACAGTGACATATTCACCTGCAGCCCAGCCTCTGATTTCAATAAAAAGCAAGCCAGATTGTCGCCAATGAATGAAATCTTAAAGGGAATGTAAGAGAATAAGGTGTTTAACGGCTACACGGGTCCTGTATGTATGACCATATTTATACTTATAATAAGGTGACAGTGCTCAACAGTCATGTTGAGGTGCTATTGCACTGCTGTTTCAATGTCTTTTTATGAGAATAATCAACAAATTACAATACTGTTGATAGATCTACACAGAGGTGAAACAGGAAAATCACCAGTAACAGTGACAGACATGAGTTTCTATTTAAATTGCATTCATTTACTTCTTAGGGCTGATTTCTTCAGTCTGGTGTGGTAAGACCAACCCCAAAACTCCCAAAACTATAACAGCTGCAATCAGTCTGGCCCTCGACAGTTGACAAATTCAAATTGCTGAAGTAAATGAATGAATTCTGAGCTGTAATTGACCCAGGTCTGCACAGCTAACAAACATAGCTGTGAATTGAAAACATGATCACAATAAGGCTACAACACCAAGAGAGAGAGGGGCAACGGAGGGCAAATCTCAACACTGATAGAGCTCTCTTCTGCTCTAAAAGTCACACTGAACCACTTGGAGGAGCCATGCATAACAATTGAACACAGATGAACGTACACATATTTCCAACTCCCTCACACGACAATGAACTTCAAGGTTTGTAGACAAAAAAGGGGCATCAGCGACGAGCCCAGTAGTCAGTGGCCAAGGACCAGAGACAGTACGGCTGAATTTACACAGGAACAATTCCTTGAAGTCTTTTACTCACACACTTTCACGTACTGACCAAAAATCATTTGCTGTGGCATCAAACGTCAAATATCTAATTAATTTTTAACATTTGTATAAATCCAGCCATTGAATGAAAGAGTTATGTCACTGACAAAAGCTAATTGAAAAGTGCTACTGGATCTTTTTTTCTTGTTATTGGCTTATCTCCCTTTATAGTTATATATTTTTAAATACTGTATATACATTCTATTTGTAGTTTTGAACATTATACTTTTCATATACTTCAGAAGTGTGCTCTGGGAAAAATAAACATTTAGTTTGACTATTCTATTCTATTCTTTTCTATTCTATTCTATACAGTATATATGTCAATGTATATCAATGACTTAACTCCTTCAGTCCAGTTGCTCTGGCACAGCATCATTCAATGAACATGTTACCCAGCATGCCTCACTGTTACTCACACAGAGAAGCTGAAAGCAGAGGAGAAGAGGGATGGGGACAGAGGGAATACAGTACAATTAACACACAAAGTTAAATCTCAGACTGCTTCACATTAAATGTCAATCAAGTCATCACTGGCCAAAGGTAAAAGAAGGCCCAGAATCAGTAAGGGTGTGGAAAATGGATCGGGGTGTGTCTAGTCAGAGAAAAGGCTGGCGAAGGACTTTCGGAGGTTGCGAATGGTCTCGGCTTTTGCTTCGTCTTGCCCGTCACCTCCGGAGCTTGAGACCCCGCGGAAGAAAGAGGAGTCACTGAAGGCGTTGAAGGCATTGGTCAGAGACTGGGACTTACTGGGAAAGGGAAGGAGAGGAAAAAGAAAAGGAGGGGCACAAGGGAAGGGAAGGAATTATGGGGAAAAAGATGGAATAATTGAAGGGAAAAGACGGTTAAGTGCATATTAATAGAGTCAGTGAGGGGAACAGGAAACTGTCAGAGGATCATAATGCTGAATACACAATATATAATAATTTCAATAGGTTACCAACTGGATTGTTACATTCTAAATCGATTGGCAAAACAGATATTTTAGTAAGTGGTGGTAATATCTGTGTCATAATGTCATAAAAGTGTGTAATTAATTGATATGCAGCACCACAATAGTTTATTTTGCATTGTACGTGGCCCACTGAAATGCATGTCTGCCTTATCAGCAGTGCGTTTATATCATGGTTCTTACTTCAGCAGAGGATGGGTCTTTTGTTGGGATCCTGGCTGTTCTTCCACAGGGGCCTGGGTCTCGGTGGAGGCTGCAGCTGCTTCTGTTGGGCCAGACTCAGGGTTTGGAGAAGAAGAGGCTGGTTTGGCCTGGGGCTGAGCCTTAGCTGGAGACTGGACATTAGGTGGGGACTGGACCTGTGCTGGGGCGGGGGCTGAGGGAACATCTGAGGCCTGAGCAGGTGCTGGGGCTTCTGCAGTGGCCTGGGGTTTAGGCGAAGCTCTGGGAGGAGGCGGGGTTTGTGGTTTTGGCTGGAGCTGCGGCTTTGAATTCCTGCGGACAGGTGGGATAGGCTTTGCAGGTGGTGTGGGTTTGGGGGGAAGCTCTTTTGGTTTGCCAGGAGCTGGGGATGGGGAGCCCTGAGGCTGGGGCTTGGGCTGCTCCGTGGTGGGAGCTGAGGCTGGAAGGGCGCCTGCTGTGGCTGCAGCTGCTTTAGCTGGGGATGATGGTGAAGCTTTGTCTGGGGTGGGGGTGGAAGCAGAATCGTGAGCTGATTTTGTGACGGATGGGGCTCTCGTCATTGGGGGAGGCCTCGGCACTGGAGGTTTTGTGACTGAGGCAGCCTTCTGGATTGGGCCTGGCTTCTGAGCTGAACCTGGACCAGGTTTCTGGGCCTGGCTGGTCTTTGGTACTGGTTCAGCTGCTCTCTTAGTTGATTCTGATGATGGGTCCATACTCTGTGATTTCACTGGTGCACCTAAAAGATTGAGAGAGCTATATTAAATTATAGTTCCATCCCTATATAACACATAAAGACAAGCAAAAAAAAAAAAAAAAGCAAAGAAGTAACAGAAATAAATAAATAAGCATTATTAGGTTATATACTGTATATAGCACCTGTTGTTTTAGTGCAGCAGTTAGAAAACCAGGCATCAGGAGCACTTCCCAAAGACCACAGCAGAACATGACACAGACAGTGATCTTGAGTGTGGACATGCCCATTCACATTATGGCCTCTCACATTCATAAAACACCCTAACCAACTCATCTGTCAAGAACAAACTAGAGTAAAGCATCCTGTGTTTTAATAGTATAAAGACCAGCAGAGGGCAGCAGATCAACAGTCTAGTGAAGGCATTGTGACTTGCCCATCATGCCAAGTGTTAGCTGCTTTTTTGCCAACTCATATGACCATTAGTACAATGAGAAAATGAGAGGAAGGAGAGGAGCAAGAGATGAGAATGAAGGAAAGTAAACAAACAAAAGAAAGGAACAGGAAGAATATTGGCATCAAACAGCTCAGCGACTCAAAGACAGGCAACAAAGCAACCTATCATGCTGCACAAAATACCGTGATTATACATGCTGAGTAGAAAGTGACCAGGCAGGGATGAGTTTCCAATAGCTGATAATTCACTCTCCTGGATGCAGGATTATGGTTAGTATAAATATATGTAAAGCCTCTTCAAAAGGCTTATTTGAAGACAGCTTGTATATGCATTACTACATGCGTTTAGAATTAGTTTTTTATTAGTAATGGCATTATATACATATTCATACATGATTGAAATGGTATTACAACTATAAAACATTCATGAAAAGTCATCCCAGACATTCTCAGAGTCGTTGCTGTCAGGCAACTACATGTCCACGAGTCTTACGTTTTAGAGTTTGTCATAAAGCATCCCAATAGTCGCTTGCAACTCATGACGCATTAAAACAGAAAAAACCATTTGTACAAACATAATTTGTACTCTAAAGGGTGATACAATCAAAATTTGCTTGGATACAAACAGATTTTAGTTTCCTTATCTGTTTCATAGGTAAATATTTTGGCTGCTTTTACACTTGATCTTCACGTGCGTGACTACTTTATTTGGGGAGCCAGCTAAACTATGCAACTTTGACCTGTTTGTACTAAACAGAATGGCTTTACAGTATGTTAAAAATCAAAAAAGATAAACAATAAAAGACAATATTTGACACCAGATGATATATGAAAAATAAATAACAATAATTCAGTGGTTGGGATCCAAGTAAATAAAGAATATTCATGCAGAAGAAAAGAAAAAAGATGCTTATTTTACTGGAATTTTTTTTAGTGAACATGTAACCAGGTGTTCTATTGTAAATATCTGTTGTGCACTGATTAAAGCCACTCTGTCTTGTCTTGGGTAATATATTACAGATCAGTTAGAGTTATAACTCTCATATATAACTAAAGACAACACCAAGCAGTTATGCAAAAAGGGGGCTCTGTTGCCTGTCAGAGAAAATATATTTGTTCATCATAAATGTATTTGCATCATGAAAATGCATAGAATTTGAAGAAGGATTCGAAAGCCAAGCATTAACTACAGAAACCCAACTGTTAGCTGACCAAAACATACAGTAATTTGCACAAGGATCACAAACAGCAGCACATTTCAGCAATGATCGCTTTCCATTTTAGAATGTATAAAAATAAACAGAACGTTCAGTTATAAATAAGCTCATGTTTGCCACTAGCCAACCATTTTCACAGTGTTAAATTATAATCTTGAAAGGCAGTGTTGTTAACTGTGGTCTGACTTTCACAACAATCTCTTACTATTCCTGCAAAACATAAACCAGCATAAACACAGCACCACATGAAGTACAAATATTTGCCACATCCATGCAAAATGAGGAAACATAATTAACAACTACTGCAACTCCACAAATAAAGGTTTTGTTAATTCAGCATGTTGTACTCTTATGTTACTACATCTTTTAGTAGGCACATTTAATTGTAACACATGAGCCCTGAGCATAAACATCACCACACTAACACAGAAGCTACAGTTGCAATTAAACTGAACATGCTGGCTAAGTAAACCACACTGTACATTTGTTTATCAATTCAAAGGCAAGTCACAAGTTAAAGAGAGACAAGACTCTGGCCTAAACACACAGCAGGGACCTTTTTCTTTCCCTGGACCCAGACTAGTGTAGCAATCGTCACTATCAACACACCACTGTAGCCATGATACCAGTGTAGTAGCTTGCAGTAATGACGATGGACACTTACCTTCAAAGAACAGAAATAAAAATAAAGACAAAATATAAACTGCTCTTGCTCTTAATGGAATACACTTATTCATTTTCTTAGATGAAAGGATCAATACCACTATCTGCCTCATGTCTGTAAAGAAAATATGAACCTACAACCAACAGCTGGAAAGCTTAGCTTAGCTTAGCTTAGCACAAAGATTGGAAAAATGGGGAAACGGCCAGTTTGACTCTACCCAGAGGTAACAAAAGCAGCTTCACAGCACCGTCAAAGCTGATTATTTTAAATGTTTTATCTTGTTTGTTTAATTCATACAAAAACCAAAGTGTAAAACTGACATATTATAGTTTTATATAGGGGTTATTTTGCCAAGCCTGTCACTATAAAGAGGTTGTCAGGCATAACACCCACATACATAACCCTCATGTATGAAACCACAACATGTTGTTTTTATACTTTAGTTTTTGTATGAATTAAACAAACTATATAAAACTGCTGGTTGGCAGATTTTGTTACTTTTGGATACAGTTGGGCTAAGTGTTCCCCTCCATTTCCAGACTTTATGCTAAGCTAACAGCTGCAGGACGTAGCTTCATATTTACTGGACAGATGTGAAAGTGGTATCAATCTTTTCATATGCCTCTTGGCCAGAAAGCAAATATCAATATTCCAGAAAGCTATTCTTTTTTTACATGCAAAATTCCTTGTTTATTGCCCCAAAACACTCCCTAAGCAACATGGTCATAGTACCCTTGATAGAAGTTTAGAATATGGGGTATCTTTGTATTTACAGTATGTTTTTCTTATACTGTGGGTCACAATTCAAAGGATTGAAAGCTACTAACTACTAATATTTGAAAAACATTCCCATTGAGACTTTGATGGCAGTACTTATTCTGACAGAGAAGGCGCTGCATTTATGAAATACTGGACATTTCATTTCAGTAAAATCTCTTAAGATGTCTACGAGTGAACTGCCCCACAACTGATTCAGAGAGTTTTTCCTAGATATGCTTTGGTCCTAGCAGCAGTATTTGTATTACAATGCATCAGCAGTGTTCAGACAACCTTGACTTTGGGAGCGCTGGCCCGAGGTCCTGTTTGGATCTGCCAGTCCTTCCTTAAGGGGAGCACTCTGAGAAAGGGTGGGAGAAAAGAAAAGAATGGAAAACAGAGAGAGAGAGTGGGAAAGAAAGGCAATCCAGAGTGAACAGGTGAAGTATCAGTAGTGAACTCTGAAGGACTACAACAAATTAATTTTGCTGCAGGCATTGACAGCTTAAAACCTTTCTAAATCTTAGAGAACCAGCCTTTATTCACTGAGGGAGATTAAAGTAAATGATGTATGAATGTATTTATGTGAATATTTATTTGAGGTGGCCCATTTCAAATACACGGGCTATGTTTGGCAATGCATTCAAATGCTGCAAAACATTTCACACTGCTGCTACCTGTTGGGGCTGTGCAGTAGTTGGTCTCTGGCCTTGAGGGGAGCGAGCAGGTGAGCGGGATGCACTAGACGACCTGGCAGCCAATGCTTGGTTCATCTTAGTAATCACCACCTCTGAGATCAGCTGGCGGTCTTCTGCTTGGTGGTCACCGATCAGCTGCATAGATGAACCGACAACCTGGACAAAGAGGGCACAGTTGGTGAATTAGAAAATGGGTGAAATGTTGTTCATCTTGACTGGGTAACAAAGTCAGGACAGACACATGAAGAAGGCCAAATGGTACAGTGGTTAATATTGCAGGTATGCCTTTTCCAAATATAAAATTAGTTTGTAATTTGTTTGACTTTTATGTTTTGTTTTGTTTTTTTGTTGTCAGGATGATGGGTTTATATAGGTAGGCATCTAATTTTTATTTTTTTTTATATATACTGTCATTATTTTTATAAAACATATGGTAAGATATTTAAAAAATTAAGCAGAATAAACACAGATACCACTTGTGATGTTTATGATGGTATTGAATTGCTCGGTACTTCTGACATAGTGTGTTACAGGAGGTGCAGCTGTAAACAACATGACTGATAGAATAAAAAACAAATATGTGTTTCTGCATAAAATATGGAAATCTTTTTCAGTAACCTAACTATTTCAATCTCTGTAGCAGTCAGGCTGCTGCTAAACAAGGCAGAAAGGTATTGTGTCTTTTAAGGAACATTCAACATTCATGAGGAGAGATATTCACTCAACAATTTTACCACATCATTATAAAAACCCAAACCTTTTTCAGTAGAGATGAATCCTTTTTTCACATTTTACTCACTTCAGTGTCTGTTCTAATTTCCACTGAACTACTGAATATTTTGAGCTTCTCTTTGCCAGCTACCAGAATTCCTACTAAAACTTTGGCCCATATGACCTTGCTTTTTCCATGGATGAGGGCTGAGTTGACCTACACCACTGAGTAGCTCTGTACTTACTGCCAAAACACATCTAGTGAAAAGTGGACAGAGGCAGGTCTCTCCATAGCACTCCAGCTTGTGTTCTACAAACCTGGCTTGTCAAGTTGCTTCCAGAGCTAGCAGAAAGCTTGGCCACCCAACAGTTCAGTCCTGGGGCCAAATTAGCCCCTGCCCCAGATCCCGATTTTCCTAAGGTCTTTTCCCATTTCTTCCACAGCTTTACTCCAGAGTCTGATTAGTGTAATGCTTACTTCCTTGCAGGCTGGCATTGTACCTGCTTCCCCACTTTGCAGTCATGTGCCTCTGTCCACTTTAGATAGCTTTTCACCCCTACCTGTACTTCTGCAAGCTGCTCCTACTGCCAACCACCCCTGAGACTTTCTAGTACAGAGTCCCTTTTCATCCATAAATCTGTTTCATCTTCTTTGTCTGATCTACTCTCTTCCTAAGCCTGATCCTGCCTCGCTACTCAACCCTAAATCCATGTCTGTTTCTCTGTCTCTCTACTTGAGTCTGAGCCAGTTTCTCTGTGTGAGCTAAAATCTGTTTCTATTTTTCGGCCTATGTCTGTTCCACAGTTTCCCATTTCCCAGTCTGTTTCGTTTTATTTGCATTAGCCTCCACATTCCTACCACCTGAACAGTCCCCTCTTGCTTCTTCACTGCCCAGGAACCCCTCCTGGCTACTGTCAGTGCAGCTCAGCTCTATGCTACAACTTCAGGCAATGACATTACCTGTCCACCCATGGCTAAATGTAACAGTGTCTGATCTGAAGCACATTCCTAATGTTTAATTTACAACCACTGTGGTCCTAAATTCAAAACTAAAGACTATGAAACTGACAGTATATACTAAATAATTACTGAAAAGAAGTGAAAGACTAATACAGAGACAGGGAGGCTGAAAAAGACCCAAACTGAGCAGTTTGTAGAGAATGACAGATAAACAACCTGTCAGGTTTGCTCGGCCGCTCTGCCTCCCTCACCTTTCCTACTGTCTCTTGCCAATTTACTCTTATCACGTTCACCTGTTCCTCACTCCCTTATCATCAGCTGCACTTGATTAGGTTGCTCACTATATTACCCGGTTTCACTCCTCAGTCACTTGCCAGTTCGTTCTAGTCTCTAGGCCATTTTTTCTCCTGTGCTCTTTCGTTTTTTGTATGTATTTATCCCCTAGCCAGCTACTGTTTTGTGTTCTCCCCATGGACTGTTCCTCCAGACTGTGGCTCCACTCTCTCCTCCCAGGCAGGTCAATGCTCAGTCGCCTATCTGTTCCACTATTGTCATCATCTCTCTGTCTCTACCTTCAGTAGCCACCGTCACCACCGACCAGCCCAGGAGTGACCCAGCCTATGCAGCTCGGCCCAGCTCTCCATCTCCTCGCCTCCTGCTGTTGGTCAAACACCCGGCTACTACTCATCGACAGGACTACGCACTATTTCCCTCTGTGTATTGTTACTCTCACCATCACTGTACATAATAAATCACTGCTTGCATTGAAGTCGGCTACCTGGGTCTGCCTCTTTCTCGTTCGCTCACTGACTGGTGCGAACGGCACATAACACAACAACACATAACAGAACTAATACAGAGATCAATAGCCCACGTGTGCACTTTAGATACCACCGGTTGTTAGTTATCAATCTCATAATACAGATTCAGGTTAGGTTCAATCAGTTTATTCCCAGCCAGACAATCCAAGGCTCCAGCAGTACAAATTAGGCCAGACATGCTAAATATAAGACTCAAAGACCTTATTAGTAGTGTTATGAAACACAACTCCCACAGGCTGATGTCAACATGGAGAACATTTTCAAACAAAAGCCAGGAGTCAATCAATGTAGAGATACAGTGATATGGCAGCTGTGCAATGAGAGCTGCTGTTTAGTGTTTCAAGCCTCCTACAGTACCCTCCTCACTCCTTTTCCTGTCTTATTCATGTGTTTTTCTCACCTCAGTAATGTAGTCATTACCATCCTTGCCACAGATGGCTTTGACAGCACAGATATCCAGCCCCCCAAAGATCTCTGAGCAGGTATCAACCCACAGCTTATACCTGTCACGAAAAGAAGCATACATGACAACTTGACTACATTAGATCTATTAAAAGTTGTGATCAGTCCACAGAAAACAAAGAAAAGTCTGCTGAGGCTGCTGTGTAGAATAATGTTCTTGCTGATGTGATAAGGGTGGCACTTGGAAAGAGCTGGGAATGAAAACAGAACTTTTCATGCCCTATACAACTTGCTTAGCTTTAAAAAAAAATGTTTGGTTCTTACAGATTACTTTGTCAATAATAGTGACTTATGTGTCAGTAAAGCACAGTGTGCTAATGCAAATGCTACTCTTCAGGAGTGATTGTGGAAAACTGCACACAGTCAAACTAAGGCTAAAACAGACGGTTCAAATCTGATATAGGGAATAATGTAACTGTACGAGGGCAGGTATGCTTTTCCCCACAGTGTCAGATCCACCTAACAATTTTTAACTGTGCTCTTACTAGCTCTCTCTACTAGGTTCTCTTATCTTTCCAGATAATGTTTTTGATTTGTGCATTATCAGAGTAGCGTAATTTAAAGACTGACAAAACCAGCTTTGAGGAAAAGTGACAAATGCCGCTTCATTCTGTGGGGCTTGTGGTGGCAGAGCTAGAGAGTTCAAACTTTAGCAAATTGAGCTAAATATTGTTTGACAAATACTGCAAGGCAAGGTGCTTGAAAGGAAAATGGCTACTTTGGTACGCCTTCATCAACTTCAACTGCACAGCACACAATCATGCTGAGCCTTTTGACTGACTTGTGACATTATTATGGCTTTATGGCATCATTAATGTCAGTAATTACACCTGTACTGTTCCTGCTGGAGCAAGTCAAAATACATGCTTTGAAAACGTTCTATAACACTAAAGCAGAGCAGCTCACTGTGAAAACAGTAAAGTTTCCTTAGCTTCGCCTGAGAAATCATAATCATCAGTCCACAAAAAATATCAGGTCATTTCCAAGCATCTGTGTGTTTACCCATGTAAACTGCTTTCATCTGACAGAATCTGCTGTCTGAGCACTGTACTTTGTGACTAACTGTGAGATAACACGTGTGACACCAGGGCAGCCTGAGCATCATTAATGTGAAAGTGGTGCTCACTTGTCAGTCATGGCTACTTGTTCCAACATGGCAGATCCAGTGTTGCTCTTCCAATTACCAGAGATGGATGTTCGCCTGGAAAAGAACATGAAATTGTGCATGAAATTATTACGGACACCCTTTGCTTTTTGGAAGTACACATTCAGAAAATTGAAGACAGGTTGAAATAAACAGCTTTGTAGCATGAGGCAAGCTGTTTCAACACTAATATTCGGTCAAGTTAACATCCTGATAAACCCAGTATAAGGAACAAAAAGAACTGGCATGTTAAACTGCACACTCAAATTTCAGGTTGCTAAGTTTATGTTCCGTTAAAGCAAATATCTACTGTTTACTGAGGCTCTTGAGCCCAGAATTCAACAGTGTAAACATGTCCATGTGCAATATGTAAAACACACACACTTACATGTATGCTTTGTAGTCAGAGCCGATTTTCTGGACCCTGATGTCGTACTTGGCATCTATAAATGGCTCTGTAGTGCAGTAGGTCTGAGTGATGGCCACCACACTTGCAATGTCCTGGAAATCACTGACATTGTCCACTTTGACCTACAGAATTAGAATGCATGTAGAAACATTAAAGCAGGAGTAGGTGATGCTCCCTATTTTCCCAGTTTGCATTTTTGCAGCACAGTCGTGCACTATATTATACCGTGTTATGACAGATGTCTCACAATTGTGCAGTGTATTGCAGTATAACATAGCATGATGGTCTGTTCATTTATGCATGTTTTTAATTGCCACACAAAGCTTAATGATTCATTTTATTGTGTATTAAAATGATTCAGTGTTTGTTTTCATACTGAGAGCTAGATGAGAAGACTGATACCTCTCTTGTGATAATAAAGCCAAGAGACAGTTATAGTAATTTAATTGTCAGTTTAGCGCAATGACAGGTTAAATAGGTTTGCTCTTGGCTTTATTATTATTCCAATTTATTTATTATTCCAAAGTTTTAAAAAGAATCAGAATCTCCCATATGAACACGGTAAATCTTGTTGGTGTAATATGTACAAAAACCAAAGGGTAAAAACAACATATTTTTGTTACCTGTTGAGAGAACCATGCTAGCCATTTCCCTGGTTTCAGTCTGTTTGCTAAAGCTAATCTCCTGTTGCTCTAGTTTGATATTAACACAGTGGAAACTGCTGTACTGCATTTATCCTGCATTAATCACAAATTACAATGGCTTTCATAAGCTATTCCATTTGAAGGGGAAGCAACAGCAACAGCAGAGGCACAATATAGGTGTGTAATAGATTAGATGTTGGGATGAAGGAAAGCAAAAAGGTTCAGACAAAAGCCAGTTTGACACAGAGAAAAGGCAATAACTTGATATCAGACTGAGCAGTGTAAGGAAGTGTTGTGTGTTGGATCAATGAGGAGTGATAAAAAGACCAGCAGCATTTCACTCTGATTTCATTCAGACATTTTTAACACAGTTGTCGGTCACAAAATGGAGAATGACAGTAGAAAAGTAGAAAAGTAGATAATTTAAAGAGTTGTATTGCAGTTATAAAAGGAAGAAGGGATAAAAAAATAGAAATGAGGAACACAGAAGATGGAGGATGGATATTAAGGGGTAGTGTATGGTAGTGGTAGTAAAATGAAGGGAGCGCCGCGTTACCTTTCCCAATCCAGAATGGGCATGTCCGATCTTCACCACTACTGGGAAGCTTGGTGTTGTAATCTGAAAAGGAATGCGCAGATTAGGAACATGTAAAAATCCTGCAGTGTTTTAGCTGTACCTATTCACAAATGTGTCAAGTGTAGTTTGGAGTGAACTGCATTTCCACCTGTATTTTTAAAAATCCTAACTGTTTATAATTCCAAAACCCTTTAGAGCTCATGCATCTCTATGGTATCCTTGCAAAGAGATTATTCTGGATTTTCATTTTGTATGTATTAACTCAGAATTTTGACATTAATATCATGATCTTAAAGTCAGAACTCAAATACAGTGGTGTGAAAAAGTGTTTGCCCCCTTACTGATTTCTTATCTTTTTGCATGTTTGTCACACTGTAATGTTTCAGATCGTCAAACAAATTTATATATTAGTCAAAGATAACACAAGTAAACACATCATGCAGTTTTTAAATGAAGGTTTTTATTATTAAGGGAAAACAAAATCCAAAACTATAGAGCCCTGTGTGAACAAGTGTTTGCCCCCCTGTCAAAACACTGGTTTATCGCACCTGAGTTCAATTTCTCTTGCCACACCTGTTCGCAATCAAGAAATCACTTAAATAGGACCTGCCTGACAAAGTGAAGTAGACCAAAAGATCCTCAAAAGCTAGACATCATGCCGAGATCCAAAGAAATTCAAAAACAAATGAGAAAGAGAATAATGGAGCTCTATCAGTCCGGAAAAGGTTATAAAGCCATTTCTAAAGCTTGGGGACTGCAGCGAACCACAGTGAGAGCCATTATCCACAAATGGCGAAAACATGGAACAGTGGAGAACCTTCCCAGGAGTGGCCAGCCGACCAAAATTACCCCAAGAGCGCAGCGACAACTCATCCAAGAGGTCACAAAAGACCCCACAACAACATCCAAAGAACTGCAGGCCTCACTTGCCTCAGTTAAGCTGAGTGTTCATGACTCCACCATAAGAAAGAGACTGGGCAAAAATGGTTTGCATGGCAGAGTTCCAAGACGAAAACCACTGCTGAGCAAAAAGAACATAAAGGCTCGTCTCAGTTTTGCCAGAAAACATCTTGATGATCCCCAAGACTTTTGGGATAATACTCTGTGGACAGACGAGACAAAAGTTGAACTTTTTGGAAGGTGTGTGTCCCATTATGTGTGGCGTAAAAGTAACACCGCATTTCAGAAAAAGAACATCATACCAACAGTAAAATATGGTGGTGGTAGTGGGATGGTCTGGGGCTGTTTTGCTGCTTCAGGCCCTGGAAGACATGCTGTGATAAGTGGAACCATGAATTCTGCTGTGTACCAAAATATCCTGAAGGAGAATGTCCGGCCATCCGTTTGTGACCTCAAGCTGAAGCGAACTTGGGTTCTGCAGCAGGACCTGCAGTCCCCAAGCTTTAGAAATGGCTTTATAACCTTTTCCGGACTGATAGAGCTCCATTATTCTCTTTCTCATTTGTTTTTGAATTTCTTTGGATCTCGGCATGATGTCTAGCTTTTGAGGATCTTTTGGTCTACTTCACTTTGTCAGGCAGGTCCTATTTAAGTGATTTCTTGATTGCGAACAGGTGTGGCAAGAGAAATTGAACTCAGGTGCGATAAACCAGTGTTTTGACAGGGGGGCAAACACTTGTTCACACAGGGCTCTATAGTTTTGGATTTTGTTTTCCCTTAATAATAAAAACCTTCATTTAAAAACTGCATGATGTGTTTACTTGTGTTATCTTTGACTAATATATAAATTTGTTTGACGATCTGAAACATTACAGTGTGACAAACATGCAAAAAGATAAGAAATCAGTAAGGGGGCAAACACTTTTTCACACCACTGTATATATTTTTACAGTGGTCCTAATCTCTTCCATAGGAAAGGTATCTGTTGAGATAATATTTCTCAATACACCACAGTAACAATGCTAACATGCTGATATTTAGCAGGTACAATGTTTGACATGTCCACACTCTGTTCGCATTTTTTAATACTAAGCACAAAGTACAGCTGAGGCTACTGAATGCTGAATGTCATTTTAGATGTTCATATACCAAAGCACTGGACAAACTGAATTTTTCACAAGCTACATAAGACAAACAGTGTTTCGTAAATTACCTTGACGTATACACAGTATATCTGCAGCCTAATATAAGATATACCAATTTATGGGGCTATGAACATTTGAATTCAAATAGTTTTAGAGAAAATGACACTCAGTTTCACACAGTTTCACAACTAGAATATACATTATGTGTAAATAAAATACATGAAAGGAGTATTTAATTTACAGTTTTGATTTTAGTCTGTCGAGTCTGTCTTCTCAGATGTAGTGCCATGCATTCAGATTACAAAATATCTTGTTTTATTCAAAATTAATTATTAACAATTTGACATATAACTTGTCTTGACACATAACTGTCACATTCCCCCACCTGTCAGGTTTGCTCAGCCGCTCTGGCCTCCCTCACCTTTCCTACTGTCTCTTGCCCATTAACACTAATCACGTTCACCTGTTCCTCACTCCCTTATCACCAGCTGCACTTGATTAGGTTGCTCACTATATTACATGGTTTCACTCCTCAGTCACTTGCCAGTTCGTTCTAGTCTCTAGGCCATTTTTTCTCCTGTGCTCTTTCGTTTTTTGTATGTATTTATCCCCTAGCCAGCTACTGTTTTGTGTTCCCCCCATGGACTGTTCCTCCAGACCGTGGCTCCACTCTCCCCTCCCAGGCAGGTCAATGCTCAGTCGCCTATCTGTTCCACTATTGCCTTCATCTCTCTGTCTCTACCTTCAGTAGCCACCATCACCACCGACCAGCCCAGGAGAGACCCAGCCTACGCAGCTCGGCCCAGCTCTCCATCTCCTCGCCTCCTGCTGTTGGTCAAACACCCGGCTACTACTCATCGACAGGACTACGCACTATTTCCCTCTGTGTATTGTTACTCTCGTCATCACTGTACATAATAAATCACTGCTTGCATTGAAGTCGGCTACCTGGGTCTGCCTCTTTCTCGTTCGCTCACTCCTAGGTGCGAATGGCACATAACACCACCTACACAGCAACAGTTGCACTCGATGACACAAATCAACTACAACTTTAATAATCATTTGCATTTATGACTCAGATGCACTTATACAACCACACAACCTACATTTGAAAATAAGAATCTTCAACTTAACAAAACATGAATACATGTGAGGAGATGGAGCAGAGGAAGAGGCAAAGGATGATAGCTTTTTGTACTGCATTTCAGGAGGCTGTCCTTAAATTGTTGACTACATAAGAGGCTCCCTGTGTGCGACCCTCTCAGTATTCAAGACCAGAGCGTGAGGGGATCCAACTATTCTAAGTTCCTCTGTGTGTTGTTTACAGAGAGTGAGAGAGGAAGAAGAGAGGGTGAGAAGCCTTCCCTTCACCTCAAGTTATTTGCTGCAGCTTGAATTCAGAGGTTTAATTTAAACTTATGAAAACATTTCTAACTATAGCTATTTTTCAGCTCAGCAGAGCTCATTGTACTACTCCACCTCTACTGTCCTATCTGCCCTCCCTTTCTGACTGCTGACCTGATTTGCTTTCCGGGAACTGCTACGGATTCAGAAGAGGTTGCAGAGTGTTCATCGAGTGGTGGAGCGGTCAGAGGCAGCCAGAGTTATCATGGCCATTTCCCAGGAGCAGAGTGTGTGTCTGGGGTTCTGGGTGCTCCTTTTGCTTGGTACGGGCATAGAGGAAGCTGAGGGATGTACCTGCTACCCAGCACACCCACAGCAACTTTTTTGCAGCTCTGAGATTGGTAAGTTACTTGCTGGAGATTAATTTAGTTTTCATTCACTCAGATAAAAGTTAAGAATATAAAAGCTGCTACATTTAGAAAACAGATTTCAGGCTCTTCAGACTGTGAATGCAATAACAGAGAGATTTTAGATTAAAACAGGAGTAATGGTCCTCCTTCCTAACTAACTGATTAGTGACTTGGCCTATTGATCAGCTTAATGAGATTGTCCCAGCAGGAACAAATCCCAATCCACAAAATAAACTTCCTCTGTCAATGGCTGGGCTTTTCATGGCAGCTGATTGAAAAAAAATGTTTTATTGCTCTGGTTTTTCCCAGTTATATTCATAGAAATGATGATTTTGTAGAGAAATTCCACAGTCATTAATTTACTACATATATAGGAGGGCTATACAAAATATTAGTGTGGTTACATTTTTTAATTGAGTGAAAGTGAAAAGAAGACATATGTGCACTCATACACATTTCATTCTTCTTCCTCTCAATCATATTAGAACAAACTCTAACAAAAACAATCAGTGGCAAGTTGCCAAGTGGCCCTGGCCTACTTTCTATCTATGTATCTATCTATGTATCTATCTATGTATCTATCTATGTATCTATCTATCTATCTATCTATCATCCATCCATTATTCTCCATGTCTACCTGCCTGTTTCTCTGCCCTCAATTCTTCATGTCTATACACAGGCCAAGACCAACACTGTGATCTGACTTTGAGTACATGGTTCCAGACTGTGGAAAGCTGGAGTATGTGCTTCTGTCAAAGGTTATGCTTTAGCAGAAAAGAGCAAAAGAGAGAAAGTAGAAAAAGAAACAGCTTTTATTTAGGCTGGTTTTGTTTTCTAATTGTATCTCCCTTCACATTTAGAGAGGGTCAGCTCCTCCAGCTGAGTTGAAAATGTGTCACGAAAAATGGTCAGTATGAAATGGAAGCTGAGACCTGTTTTCAAAACCTGCACAACCCCAAATTAGATCTGGGTTATGAGAACGCAGCGAGAGTATTTAGGGCACTGTTTTTAGGACAAAAGTTTTACATATGATGTGTGTCATCCAGGAGTAAGACAGAGGTCCTCTAAATATGATTAACCCGTTTTGTGGTTTTCATTGAGTTTGTCTGTAACTAGTCTAAACCAAGGTTCAGTTTAGACTCTGGTTCTTAAGGCCCCGACCCTGAGGTATCAGTGCCCACCCTCGTTCTGCCTACCCTCCAGGTGCCCCTGACCCATGCCCCAGTCAATCTGCAGCTATTTC